AACCTGAAAATATCTTACTCCTTTGCAGTTAGAATCAGATATGAACAGGAGGAGTTTGGGTGAATATTGATCGACCAAGTTTTGACTAGAACTCTCGTTAACAAAAGAATGATAGGCAAGATCGCAGATCGTTTACAATATCGCATGAACATTTAGGGTGTGAGAGTTAACCGCTCCATCCTGCTCAGACTTAATAGCAGATTAGGAAGATCCGCGTCTGCCGAACTTTGCCCATTTGCAATCACCGATTTTAAGCGTTATGTTTTCCCCTAGACCATGAATAATATACGAATATCCATCGGGTAGTTAATCAGCTTTTTTGACACATTCATCAAGGAAGAGCTGCGTTCTGGTCCAGCATCGCTAACAGCCAGACAGATAAAGTGAGGAAATCCAGTCTTCAACGTGATGCCAAATTTCATTGTTTCTCAACCCCCTATTTCTGAAAACATACCACAGCAGTTAAACTGTTCATCGGGTACTTTTTACATCCAATGAACAGCGTTTTTAGGTAAATCAGGGTCCCGATTTCGTTGGCACTGCTAAATGATGTTTTATTCCTTCAATCCAATTCGGCACATGTGATTATTTCTTGCACCGGCAGCACTGGATCTGTTTAAGACGCCTTTGTTCTATGTCCGGGCGGTGAAGTAGGTACCATTGCGGACTAAATCATGTTGCCATTGTTAGCAATACATGGGCAATGCACTGTGTCACTTAGTATTCTTTTCTAGAAAGCGTGTAATACTGCTGCGAATCGTTGATAATTCATTTGATTAGAATTGCGATTGGCACGAAATAAGTACTTCCTCAGAAAAAAATGAAACATAAATCAGTCGAAATGCTGGCGCAATGAAATCACTTTAACCAATATAATTTGAGATATTCTTTAGAAATCGGTTTGTTTGATTTGAGTTTTCCAGTGACAGTTCATTCAGACGACAAGAATAGTGTTCACCACGATGGATCTGACAGTCTTGCACGCTAATAATTAGAAATAGAACTGCGATTGATTATTTGACACTTCTGAGAAGGATGTATTTGACATCATTGCCTGCAGTCTACACTAGTGGTCTTCTCCCGTTTCGCTAGCGGTCTCGACGCAACAAAGATAAACTTAAAAATGCCAAGGCTTTTATATAAACGGAAAGCAGTTAGAATAAGGCATATATATATAAAGTGCACACCCTGTCGATCACGAATGTCCGGGAGAAATCGCCCAGCAAAATCTTCAAAATCTCGCGGATTTTGTACTGATGACATTTTGCATGAAGCATCCTCATTTTTTACTTTTGGGTGCGTTTCGGCTGAGCAGTAGAGTACTGCTTGGTTTAGTTCGTCATTGTGTTTCCGCAAACCAATTATAACGAAGGCTTTTTTGTACGGTCCAACATTTGGGAGAATTCGCAGACACTGTACAGTATTTTCAATTAGCTTAATGTGTGATAGCTGAAAATACGTGACTGATATGAAAACGTAAAGCTGCGGTGTTATTCTGCTTGTCATATTTGAAATATACTCCCCGAAAACTCAGCAGTTCCAAGATTTCCGAACATTTGTATGAATAAAGTAGAAATCGCGCGCAGCACACAATTTTTCATGATACAAGTTTCAGGTCATTTCAGAGCAACACGAGGACAATACTAAATTTAATGCCGACCATCTCATCGTCTTGGTCGTCAATGTCTTAGAAAAAACTATTGTGTGCAGAATACAGTTAGTATTCGGTTTTCTGTCGGAGTACCCCTGGTGTATCAAACGGTCGTCCGTTTGATTCCCGGTGCATGGGAAACTGTAAACTGCACAATGTATACAGAACTGTCACGAAAACCATTTATGGAACGCCACAATAGCAAACATGTTTAACTTGGTGGACAGTTTGACGGGGACTTGAGGCTGGTTTTGATGTGAAGGTAATCTGTTTATAGAGGAGTTTATAGGAGAGCTGCTGCAATGAACAAGGCAGTTAATGATGAGAATGTTCACTGCATTGATAGAATGCTTTCTAATTGAGGAATAGTGCCAACATCACTATACAAGGTCCACTCATTCTTATCGCTTACATGTCAAAGAACCCACTTATTGATCCAATCAGGATAGCAAACCCTCTCCACCACACCTACTGTTTACATTTTGTACATTATAGAATCTGGATATTATCACGGATGTTGTACCAATTAGTTTCTCATTCCAGCTCCCGGAAACATCGGGTTGATTCGCTACGCGAAAAGAAGACTTCTTGTGGTATTCTACAAACAGCAATCGCAGCCGATACCAATTCGTACAACAAATGTTCCTCTCTTGCGCAACTCTAACAAGAGTACGTATGCGTATATATTTAGGACACCGTGATTACCGCTATAATCAGATCACTTTTATTAGTTCCGTTATTTGTAGCAAAACGCAGACAAGGGATTCACCGTTAGAATTAACGACATTTGTAAATGAATGCGGTTAGCTACTCGTGGTTCCCTCTTGAGAAACAAAACCAAATTGAGTGCGAACCCTATGCTATCAGTTTTCGGTTTCCTGAACGCAGGTTCCACTCCAAACCAATGACATGGGCTTCAATGCGCTCAGGATTGTGGACGTGTCGACTCCCGACATTTACCACTAGTCCACATCAGTAAATTTGATGTTGACTCAGGCATTTTCTGAGTAGTATAGAAACAACTGGACGTTGGCCTGAAATATGCTCTCTTAATGCGCCATTATTTTCAACCATTATCCTGATTGCGAGTCCACCAGGGATACTTTCTAGTTCGAATCAATCACGCCGAAAATTAGGACAGGCCTTTCCGAAGTACCGCAAACTTATTAATTTTTTTTGAAAACAGCCATGCAATACATAGTCACATCGTTGATCTATTTTGGCAAATAACTGGATCACTTTTTCATTTTTTAAAGGTTTTGATTAGCATTTACTAAATGTCATAATGCACTTTCGCTCGTAATCCTGTATGAAAATTCTTTAGTGAATGGTGAGTTCACGAGTGTTTGACTAGCTCCGAACAACGGACATTCTTGGAATTTCGCAGACCTGAACCTAACAGGAAACAACACCTTATGATTACTCAAAGTCATGTTGCGAAAAAATAAGCTGGCACTAAACACGATTGTGTGTTATGGAAAGAAAATCGGGTTCACTTGACCAGAAAATTTTCTCAAATTTCTCACTAGAAACGAGATTTTCAAATGGTAGTTTAGGACGTCATCATTTGTTGACCGTGAAGATCTTTGGTTGACTACGCTAAATTATATATTGCCTAGATCAGGGCACCGTGAGATTATTTGAACGCGCAAACGACAATAAACTTCAAAAGTTAAGGCATATTGAACCCAAGTCTGAAGTTGGTTGGTGACAATAAACCTGCTGTTTTTTTTCTCAGCATGCAACGGTGTTGACTGACAAGAGAATGCGTCCGCTGTAATTTTCTCAACCGCCTTAAATTTCTACAGGTTCCGGGTGCTGCAATCAGGCAAGAGCGGAATCAACACATATGAAGCGCTTGGTGCTTAATATTGTGGCTTCTTAATTTTGTTTTCTTCTAGTGATTATCAAAGTTGATAGGTCGTTTAGCTAGTTGCCGTAGCACACAATTCAGAAAATCGCTCCTCATGTACGGAAATATACATACTTCTTGATTTGTGGGTACCACTAATGTCTAGACTCTACAGACCAGGAGTTTTCTGTGGTGTTGTATTGGGTCTCGCCGATGGCAGTATAGATCTCAGTTACCATCATCGGCTAATCACAATGATACTTGGAAAAAGTCAAATTTGTGCAGCCCGCCGTTTCAACAACAATCCTGATCAACATACTGCAATCGCTCATTTGTCGCGCACAATATTCCATCATTGATTTTCTGCTAAACATCGTTCATCCACGACTAGACGCCATCTCGGACACTGTCGGAATAACAGGGGATTTTAAAGCTCAGGCAATCCACCTTAATATTAGAAATGATTTTCCGCACATTTTCAGTGATCAGTAGATGGAATTCAGAAGTTCTCATTCAAGACGCGGTGGACATCGTAGAGTTGCCTGGGGTCAATCTGCTGTTGAACCCGTGTGGAGTCAGAATATCCCTGTGGCTTCCAGCTAATGATGGTGCGAAATTGTGCAAGGAAGGAGGCTACCTGACTCATTTAGAAACTCCTTGGTTAGAGCGTGAATTTTCCGATCGAAAGATTCGCTGTTCGAACTGCACCCGCTTTTGCCTAAGAAAACTGGCAGTATCACAGCCCTGGTGTATTTATTTTGCATATTTACCCACATGGTCGTTGACTACCACTTAGGATGTAGACAGGGATGGTATTCTCACGGGGCTGTTACTAGTGAAGTTATACTAGAGTATCAACGTATTGTATATCCCCACTTTTCTCTGGAGAAATAGTCACTGGTATCGGAATCGATCGTGAACATGTGTTTTTCAGATGGAGGTATTGTACACATGCTTAGTTTACTCCCAGCTAATAAATTATCGTCATCTTTACTGAGTCTCACAGAGAATTCTTGATTTAAAGGCTAGATTTTCATGTGCTTTAGAATAGTCTTTATTTTTCCTTAGAGGATTCAGGCTAAGTGAGCTACCGTTGGTAACCGTTTACGCTGTTTTCCAACCTGTTTTCCATTTTTTCTCCCAAAAAGGAATAATTAATCGGCAATTTGGATTCGACTTCCAGGAGTAAGTTGATGGTGTGCTGATTTTATTTTCGTTTGTGATAATCGCTATCATGTCATTCAATAGAGCGGTATGATTGGAAGTTTGATTTCGTTGGAAACCGCATTCATTTTTCACGTTTTAAAGCGGCAGTGCATCGTTCATGATGGGTGACGATCTCCAGCAAATTCCATCCACGGATGACCTTCGTAAACGTTGTTGATGGGCCTTATTGGGAAACAAGTGTTGATTGGTGAGCAAAGACACTTTCCCACTGTTTCCAATAAATGCACAGCTGGTTGCAGTCTCGTTCACATCTGGTTCCCTTCTCTGCAGGATATTTGTTTTCAACACGGGGTTTAGCACTGGGGATCACAGAATGATGTTTGACACTGGTGCTGGCGGAATCAGTCTGCCGGGAGATATTCACATGGCTATGAACGAAATTCTTGGAGTAAAAAAACAGCTGAGCCGCGCATATGTGTTTGATTGTGAAAAGTTGCCTTCCCTGCCTCCCGTCGAATTCCGGATACAAGGAAAATCATTTAAAATTATGCCAAAGCAATACACAAAACAGGTGGGGATTTTCAATTGTTAAACGTTTTCTTGACCAAATATTTATCCTTATTATCATGACAAATGTGGTCTTTGAATTTCAAAGCGATGGTCACTAGCAGTATGCACGGTAGTGTCAATAAATGTGAATTGAAAGCAAACGTTAAAAAAACGGCCAGGCCAAGCAGAAAGATTAAAGGGACTAAAGCATTGCTTTTGCAATAAAAATTAATATTTTTCGTGTTGCAAACATGAACCATTTTTTTGCTACATTTTACTTTTCAACGCACGTTTTTAAACTTTTGTTTTCAAGCTTATACGAGTATATTTATCAGTACAATACAGCAACCCTTTTCTCGTGTTCGGCTTTAAGGTGTAAAAGGTACATGGTATCACACATACCCAATTTAAAGAACCGGGAAGGCCAAGCAGAAAGAATAACGAGACTGGGGCACTGTCTTTGCGATAGAAATCAACATTTCCGTGTTGCCAACATGGGACACCGGTTTTCGCTATGTTTTACTTTTCAACACAATGTTTCTAACTTTATATCTTAATATATATGTAAGTATATTTGTAAGTACGGCACTGTCTGATAGAAATCAACATTTCCGTGTTGCCAACATGGGACACCGGTTTTCGCTATGTTTTACTTTTCAACACAATGTTTCTAACTAACTATCTTAATATATATGTAAGTATATTTGTAAGTACGATACAGCAACCCTTTTCTACTGTAGCGCTTTCAAGTGTAAAACGTACCTGAGTTTACGCAGAGCCTACTTCGGTCTTCCAGAAATGAAGGCATAATAATCCTGGTCGAAATAAAAAGGACCCAAATTGGACACAAATGCCCTGAAGGAGCACATCATGCGGTGGTACTAGAATCAATACTCAGCTTGCATATAATGTGGCAATTGCCATTTGTTCCTCTTCCGTAGGCACTTGTAGCGCATCCGCATAAATCAGTTGCTCTGACATCACCGAATGGAATGCAGTCGTATGCTGAATTTGACCATGTTGGCAACAGATAATGATGAAGAATCTCTGGTGCAAGCGACTTGTCTCTGAGCACGTCTTTGTGCGTTCCGGTCTATTAGTTCAAAATTAATCGACAATGGCACGCGAGAAGCAGAGCAAATGTTATGTAGAAAATTTCTGGGCTACAACCCATCCGGCCAGCAAGTCTGATCTGATCATAAACTTGTAAAATGGTTGTTCATGACAAATTGCCCAACCTGCGGTATACCTACGTAAATAGTAGCACGGATAGTTTTAATATCAGAGTAGTTCCGTACACGTAGGCGACTTATTTTTTCTATTCTCACCGCAGCAAAACATCCTACTATCAAGACAAGACGGGTGATATTTCGGTGTATTTTCTACCCAAATATTGTTATGCTATGGCTCCCTTGATCCACATATTTATTATCCAGAACCAACATGCTTGTGTACTTGTAAATCAACAAGTTCATTTAACCTCAGCACTCAAAACTTATCGTTTAATTAATACGAAGTTCGAACAATCAGTGTACCCATCGACCAAAGGATCTATTCATGTAAATTTCTATCTCACCTTATATCCACACATCTGCGTCGCTGTCTGTCTATCTCCATATATATATATACATATATATATATATATATATATATATATATGATTAAAGATATGT